GTCTATTCTTCGGGCTAATTGTCTCCTCGGGTCTTTGACTCTCTTTAATCTTATGAATATTGTCTTTGTGGATTATGCTATGCCAATTGATCATGGTGTTTCCTGAGACTATGGTTCTGAGCCCCCCGGCCCAGCAACTTACTGTCTTAAGGTATTTGGTAATGTCTCTGAAAGTTTTCATAACTTTTGTCTCCTGTATGCACCACCACAATCACAAATATGTTTGAAGCAAAGATAAATAAACATGTACAAATATCCTGTGAAGCCATTATATATTTGTGGGTGCACTCCCACTCTCCCCCGCACACCTGTTCAGCCTGAGTTTCTACCTATGTATCTACCTGCAGGTCACTATTGCTGTAGGGTTGTGTATATAACAGTATTCACCTCTGTTGCCTTAACTCTTGCACGCTTCCCCGTGTCTCCCATGCCTTCATCATTCTTGTCATGGCTCTTATTTCTCTAAGCTACATACCTAGTAGTAGGATTGCTGAATCATATGCTACCTCTAACTTAAGAAAGTGCCAAACCATTTGCTACAGTGGTTGTACCATTTTAAAATCCCACCAGCAGTGTGTAAGTTTCAAGCTTCCACACCTTCACCAGCCTTCTTTTTGATCATTGCTATTAATTTTGGAGTAAGATGGCATCTCATTGTTTTGATTTGCATCTGGCTAATGCATAACGGGACTCCTGGTGTGGCGCTGTGGGTTAAAGTGCTGGACTGCAAAGTCAGTTTGAACTGCAAGGTCAGTGGTTCAAGCTTACCAGCCACTCCTTCGAAACCCTATACAGGGTCGCTATGGGTCGGAACAAACTCAACGGTACTTCACAATGGGTAAACAATGATCATGAGCATCTCATCACATATTTGTTGTCCATATAATGAACTCTCAGAACTCAGTAATTAAAAAGATAAATAACCCAAGTAAAGAATCTGAACAGATATTTCTCCAAAGAAAATATTTCTCCAAAGATTTACAAAAGGCCAATAATCACATGAAAAGATGCTTATCACCGTTAATCATTTGTTGTTGTTAAGTGCTGTTATCAGTTCTGATGTACAGTGACTCTACACAGATATTTCTCCAAAGATTTACAAAAGGCCAATAATCACATGAAAAGATGCTTATCACCGTTAATCATTTGTTGTTGTTAAGTGCTGTTATCAGTTCTGATGTACAGTGACTCTACACAGGGTTTCCAAGAAGCAACTGGTAGGTTTGAACCATCGACCTTGTTGTGGTTAGCAATCCAGTGTTTATCCTACAGCACCACAATCATTGTTAAGTGCCATCAGGTGGGTTCTAACTCAGTGATACAGTAAAAGGTTTCCAAGGAGCAGCTGGTGGGTTTGAACTGCTGACCTTGCAGTTTAAACTGAACTTGTGGTCCAGAACTTATCCTACTGCACCAGATAGCTAGAATAAGAGACAGTAACAAGAATTAGCAGGATGTAGAGAACTTGGAGTCCTGGTGTAGTGTAGTAGAAGCAGCATTGGACTGCTAACTACAAGGTCAGTAGTTCAAACCCACCAGCCACTCCTTGGAAACCCTATACAGGGTTGCTATTAGTCAGAACTGACTTGAGGACACTTGACAACAAGAGAACTTGGAGTATGCATAAACTGCTCATGGGAATGTAAAATGGTGTATTTTGGAAACAAGTCTGGTAGGTCTTCAAAAGTTTAAACAGTTATCATGAGTCAGCAATTTCACTTCTAGATATGTATGCAAGAGAAAACATGCCCACTCAAAAACTTACCTATTAACTGATAAATGGTAATATATATCTATATAGTAGATTAAGGCACCCTGGTAGTGTAGTGGATTACAAGCTTGGCTGCTAACCATAAAGTCACCAGTTTGAATCTATCAGGTGCTCCGTGGGAGAAAGATGAGGCTTTCTGTTCCTATAAAGATTTACAGCCTCAGAAACCCTATACAGGGTCACTATGAGTCAGCACTGACTTGGTTGCATACAAACACCACCATACAATGGATTATTGTTGTTAAGTGCTGTCGAGTAGGCTCCAATGCATAGCGATCCTGTACAGGGATTCCAAGGAGCAACTGGTAAGCTTGAATCATAATACTCAACATTAGAAAGCAATTAATGCATACTAACACATGTGATAACATGAACCTTGAGTGTTTTGCTAGGCAAAAGACAGTCACCGAAAGTCATGTATTGTATGATTCTACTTCTATGAAATGTCCAGAACAAGCAAACCTATGGACAGAAAACATGATTAGGGCATGTTGGGAACAAGGAAGGGTTGGATAGACTGGGGTTGATGACTAAAACATAACAGACTTTTGTTATTGCTATTAAGTGCCTTCAAGTCCGTTCCAACTCATAGTGACTTTGTATTGGGTTTTAGAAGAGCAGCTGGTGGTCTTGAACCACCAACCTTTCAGCTTGAAACTTACCTTGCAGTCCAGTGCTGCTCCTATGTTGTTGTTGTTGTTAAGTGCCGTCGAGTCGGTTCTGACCCATAGCGATCCTGTACAGGGTTTCCGAGGCTGTAAATCTTTACAGGAGCAGAAAGCCTCATCTTTCTCCCGTGGAACAGCTGGTAGTTTCGAACTTCTGACCTTGCGGTTCGCAGCCCGATTCGTAACCACTACGCTATCAGAGCTCCTATAGTGCCACACATTAAGCGGTTTTTAGTACACTCAGGTGTGGCACTGCAGGATAAAGCACTGGCATGTAACAGAAACTTGATGACACGTGTTCTCAGGGTTGTGCTACCATCACACTACCTAGATTTTAGAACTAGATTTCATTACTCCTAAAAAGTCCCTAGGAGCTCTGGTAGCATAGTGGTTGAGCTGGGATGCTAACTGCAAGGTCAGCAACTTGAAACTACCAGCCTTTCTGCGGAAGATGAGGCTTTCTGCTCCCGTAAAGATTTACAGCCTCGGAAACCCCATGCCGTGTCGCTATGAGTCGGAACTTAACTAGAAGTCCCTAAGTCGTCCTGGTGTGGCACTGCATTGTAGGACTTCTTGTTGCTATGTGCTGTCAAGTTGGTTCTGACCCAAAGCGACCCTGTATAGAGTTTCCGAGGAGAAGGTGGTGAGCTTGAATTGTCGACCTTGCAGTTCAAACAGCTGTGCAGTTTGGTGCATTAACCCTCTTGCCACTGTTAAGTGCCAGTGCTTTATCCTGTAGTGCCAGACCTGAGTGTACTAAAACCCTTAACGTGTGGAGCTGCAGGATCAGCACTGGACTGTGAACCACAAGGTCGGCAGTTCTAACCCACCAGTTGCTCCTCAGAAACCCTATGCAGGGTTGCTATGAGTTGGATACGACTCACGGTACTTAACAACAAACAGATGAACTGTATGTGGATTTTATCTTAATACAACTGTTATAAAAATAATAAAAAGCATAGAAACACCATATAAGTATTAAAGACTTTCTAAGTCTCATGCTTTAACTATTATCACTATTTATTCTAAATAAGCACTTTATAAGAAATGTTTCTGCCCTATGCCTTTACCTGTTCTTCACTAAATAGAACACAGTGTTTTGACCCATTAATGCATGTTCCTTTCTAGATTTACATGCTGTCCAGCTTCTCCAGCACAAAAAGGAGTGGATGTTAGAACACATAAATAACATCATGTTTTTGGAACATCTTCAGCATCACCTCCTCTAAGTTTACCTCAGCTGACGTCCTTGATCTGGACTTACCTCCCCTGACAGTACTCACCTGGGTAAAACTCACTGGTTTACTCACTGCTTTGGAGAACAAGTAGAGTCCCTTAAGAGTGGGTTTGGCTTTTCTAATGCTTAAAAGATTACATCTCAACCTAAAGAAAACAAAAATCTTCACACAGGACCAATAAGGAACATCATGATAAATGGAAAAACGATGGAAGTTGTCAAGGATTTCGTTTTACTTGGATCCACAACCAACACTCTTAGCCTGGAAGCAGCAGTCAAGAAAATAAAATGATGTACTATGTTGGGCAAATATGCTGCAAAAGATCTCTTGGAAAATGTTACTTTAAGAACTTAAGTTGTGCCTGACACAGCATTTTCAATTCCCGCATGCGTATGAAAGCAGGACGATGAATAAGGAAGACCAAAGAATTGATGTATTTGAATGAAAATGTTGGAGAATATTGAATGTACTAATAGAAAAATTCAGACTCTCTCTTTAAAGAAGTCCAGATAGAAGGCTCCTTAGACGTGAGGATGGTGATTTCCTCTCATGTACTTTGGATGTGTTATAAGGGAGCACCTGACCCTAGAACGAGATTATGCTTGGTAAAGTAAGAGGGTCGGCGAAAAAGCAGCACTTCAGTGAGATGCACTGACAACGTGGCTGTGAGAATGGGCTCGGACACAGCAATGATTCTGAGGATGGCACCGGATCAGGCAGAGTGTTCTGTTGGACTCAGGGTCAACATGAGTCAGAACCAACTCGACATGCCTAAAATCATCTCTCTAAAATGGGTTCGTTAATGTCCCCTCATTCCAAGATCTGACAAGCTCTCTGCCACTATCAGGTGTGTAGGTTTGTGTGTCAGGCTGAGAAATGCTCGTCTAAATAATACACTCAAAAGGTCCATCTAAAATGCCAGCCATGCTTTAGCCAATTAAGACTGTTTGAAGAACTTGGGATATTCAAATGGCAGTGTATTTATGTAAACCAATAAAACGTGTCAATAGCAATTTGATTTTAATAGCCTGTCAAACAATTTCCCTTCCAAATTAGCATACACTTCTGTGTGTGTTTACAGAAACCAAGAGACATCATCAATCGTTCACTCATCATTAAGTTCAGCCTTTTATAGGTGCAGGTGTCTGCGGCTGCAAGACGATTCTAGCCAGAGTTGGCGTTTCCAAGAGCGCTTCCGTTCTGGTATCACAACGATTGGGTTTAGCTGTGTGTCATAGCAGCAGTAGGGGCCATTCTGCAGCATCAGTGTCCTGGACAAGTTCCACAGGCAGCAAGCAGAGGCCATTTCTGTTGTAGTCAAGATCACATATCCAGGTGCTTGTAGAGCCTGCGGCTTTTCTCTTTCTTGTTTCGGTTGCCATGCTTTTTCCAGGGCTTCCCAGCTGCAATCTCAGAGCACAAAGTAGTTGCAGTCACCAAGCCGCTGCCAGGCTTGTAGCCCATTACAGCCTGGACTCCTTTGGTCAAAGCTCTCACATTCTCCTAGCAAAGAAGATACAACATTATGGGAGATGTCAGCAGGCTGTTTCCTTTAGGAAATAACACATGGTATTGCTTATGGACAATTCCACAATACAAAGGAGTAAATCACTCAGATTTACACAAGCAGATTTCCAGCTCTTTCACTGATCTTCTTTCTCTCCTGATCCTTTAAAAATGTGGGCTTCTCAACATTCTGTCGTGTTCATTCTCTTTGCCTGCCTCATACGCTCCCTCTTCAAATTTGTTCTGTCCCATAGCTTCATGTGAGTCCTGGTGTGGTGCTGCAGGATAATATGCTGGACCGTAAGGTAGCTTTAAAACGCAAGTTTGGTGGTTCAAACTTACCAGCCATGCCTCAGAAACCCTATACAGGGTTGCTATGACTCAACAGCACTGAACAACAATATAGCTTCATGTGCCATTTTTATCTATACCTAGATTCATGATTCCAGAGGTATTCTGGAAATATCTAGCTTGATATCCAAACTCGACCTACCACAAACAAAATCAACTGGTCTCCCTTAGAAAATGGTTCTCCATTCTACATAGTGGTTAATATCTGCTCAAAAGAGCACGTTCTAACAGAGTTACCTAGTCATGTATCTATCGTACACAAATGTCTGATGGCTTGCCACAACCTAGAGAATCAAGCTCACATTCCCCAGTATGGCACACAAGGTCATGTACAGATATGTGTTCTTAACTGATGCAACCCATTCTCTTATATTCTTTTACGCCTTTGTTTATACTATTCCTGGCTCTTGCCACTTCTTCCAACTGGCATATTTTTATTCATTCTTCAAATCTACCTTACAAAGCTTCCTTTTTGTAGCTTTTGCTCACTTACTTTGTCCAGCACCTCAAGATTAGCCTTTCCCTTATCTGGGTTCACAAAGGACTCAATTATACCTCTATACTAGAAGAAATGTCACCCTGTTTGTTAGTTGGTCTGTCTCCCCTCTGCTAAAACGTGAACCCCTTGAAAGAAAAAATTAAATCATACTGATTTTTCTACCCAGGCCCTAGCACAATCACGGGCACAAAGGAACTACGCAGTAAGTTTTTGCAAACTTGAGATTTACAGTAAAACAAAATGAGAAGCAAACCAAGCTAAGTTTCAAGTTTGCTCAGTAATAGAAATGTAATCCAACATGATTTCCACATGTATAGCAATATTTCATGATCATATTAGATTAGTAAAATACTAGTCCAGAGGCTAAAGTTCAGACACATGAACTAGTACAATTAACTGCAAAATTTCCACTTCCTTGTACATGGCCTTTGAGAAACGAACTATTTTTAAAACTTCAGCTGTGGGCCCAAGAAAAACTTACCATCTTTTTGATATTGCTAAGTTTTCTTCAAAATATTGGCACAGACTTGGAAATAAAGTAAGAGTCACAAGTATCTAAGTTCTCAACATCATTAGTCACTAGGGAAATGCACATCAAAACCACAATAAGGTAGTTCACATCTGCCAGAATGACAATAGTAACTGTTGACTAAGATGTGCAGAAATTGGAAACTTCAGACACCACTGGTAGCAATATAAAATGGTGCAGCTCTGTTGGAAAACAAACAGCTCCTCAAAAGATAACACATGAGTTACCGTATGACTCAGAAATTTCCACTCTGAAGTAGACACCCGAAAGAGATGAAAACAGACGTCCACACAAAACCCTTACACGAATGTTCACAGCAGCACTACTCATAATAGCCAAAAAAGTGGGAACAACTCAACATCTATCATTTGATGAACGGAGAAACAAAATGTGTATACTTACATAATGGAATAGTATTTGGCCACACAAAGAAAGAAAGTAGTTGAAACCTGCTACAATACTAACGAACCTTAAAAACACTGTGTTAAGTGAATGAAGTCAATGACAGAGGCTACATATTCTATGATTCCATTTGTATGAAATGTCCAGAATAGGCAAATTCAGAGAGACAGAAAGCAGAGGACTGGTTTCTTTTAGGACGGATGCAAATGTTCTAAAATTAGATGATGATGCTGGGTGAACGACCTGGTAATTATCTAAAACCCTCAGAACTGATACTTTAAAAGGAGACTTGTATGGTAGGGGGATAGCTTAATAGAGCTGACATAAAAATATGTGTTGAATCAGATGTTAAAGAAAAAGTCTAAAACTTACTTGATGGAAAAAAGTTTTATCAACTGTATTTTCAATCTGCATTGTTTTCTTATTTTTGCCTGGCTGCATTCTTACTTCATCACCATTCGTTCTGTTCTCTAGGAGATGCTGATGTTGATGTTGAAAGAGCAAAGGATCAGTTCCGGGAGGAGGATGGCAGTACAGCAGCTTACCCTACAGAGACATAAATGGTAACAGTGCTTACATCCTCAGAAGAGATGCTGCCAATCCGACACAGCTTCCTAAAAAAGGGCCGTTTCATCGCCATGACTGAAACGTCCCCTCAAATGCTGACGCCTCCAGAGCAGGTCCAGGCCCCTGCCCTTCTTGTGTTCCTTTGCTATCTCCTACCACTGCCCACAGGAGTCCTGGTGTGGGGCTGCAGGATAAGCACTGGACTGCAAGGTCGGTGGCTCGAACTTACCAGTGCTTCCTTGGAAATCCTATACAGCATCACTGAGTAGAAACTGACTCGACAGCATTTAACAACAACTGCTGCCCACAGGCATACAAACAGTAGTTCCTATTGTAGGTCCAGCTGACTGTTCTGTTATAGCAGCCCCTTTAAGCACAGCTTTATTTTCATGTTTGTGGGGGGAGGGAGGAGAACGCTTATATTTATTTGGCATCAGCAGTTGTAGGAGCCCTGATGGTACTACAGTAACAGAGCTCAGCTGGTAAACACAAAGTTGGCAGTTCAAACCCACAAGCCGCTCCTCAGGAGAGAAATGTAGCACTCTGCCTCCACAGATTAGAGCCTTAGAAACCCTGTGGGGCAGTTCTATTTTGTCCTATAAGAAGTCAGAATTGACTTGATAGCAATAGATTTGGCTAGGAACTGAGCTAGTGCTTTATATATATATAATATATATACATGCATGTTATTCTTGCTTTGTTATTAAGTGCCATCGAGTCGGTACTGACTCATAGCGACCCTATACACAAAAGAATGAAACACTGCCTGGTCATGGGCCAACCTCACAATTGTTGCTACGCTTGAGCCCATTGATGCTGCCACTTTTCCAATTCATCTTGCTGGGGGTCTTCCTCTTTTTTCCTGATCCTCCACCGTAACAAACATGATATCCTTCTCCAGTGACTAGTCCTGGTCCCTCCTGACAACATGTGTGAAGTATGAGAGATGAAGTTTGGCCATTCTGGCTTCCACCGAGCACTCTGGCTGTACTTCATCCAACACAGACCTATTTATTCTTTTGGCAGTCCATGGTACTTACAATATTCTCCTCCAACACCAAAATTCAAATGCATCAATTCTTCTACAGTCTTCCTTATTCACTGTCCAACTTTCCAATGCATATATGCTTACTGAAAATATCATGGCTTGGTATTTTCAATACCAAGGTGCACCTTAGTTCTCAAGCTACCATCTTTGCTCTTCAAAACTTTAAAAAAAAGGTCTTGTGCAGCAGATTTGCCTAATGCAATACATTGTTTGATTTCTTGACTGCTGCTCCATGAGTGTTGATGGTTGATCTGAGAAAAATGAAGTCAATGACAACTTCAGTCTTTTCTCCAATGATAAGAATGTTGTTTATTGGTCCAGTGGTGAGGATTTTTGTTTTCTTTACATTGAGATGCAATCCATACCAAAGACTGTGTTTTTTGATTTTCATCAGTTAGGTATTTTAAGTCCTTTTCACTTTCAGCAAGCAAGACTGTATCATCTGGATATCACAGGTTGTTAATGAGTCTTCCTCCAGTCCTGATGCCATGTTTGTCTTCATAGAACCCAGCTTCTTGGATTATTTGCTCAGCATACAGGTTGAATAACCATGGTGAAAGAACACAATCCTGTTGCACACCTTTCCTAATTTTAAACCATTTAGTGTTCCCATGTTCTGGATGAACAATTGCCTCTTGGTTTATGTATAGATTCCTCATGAGCACAATTAAGTGTTCAGGAATACTCACACTACATAGCTTGTTCATAGCTTGTCATGATCCACAAAATCTGAAGCCTTTGTGTAGTCAATAAAGTACAGGTAAACATCTGTCTGGTATTCTCTGCTTTCAGCCAAGATCCATCTGACATTAGCAATGATATCCCACATTCCACATCCTCTTCTGAATCCTGTTTGAATCCCTCTGCAAGTTCTTTAAGTAAAACTTTACTCGCATGGGACATCAATCATATTGTCCGATGATTTCCGCATCCCTCTGGGTGACCTTTCTTTGGAATAGGCACAAATGAGGATTTCTTCCATTCTAGGTAGTCGTCTTCCAAATTTGTGGCATATGTGTGAGTGCCTCCTGTGCCACTTTACTTCCTTGGAAGATTTCAATTTTTATTCCATCAATTACTAGTGCCTGTTCTTTGGTTATTACTTCAATGCATGATGGACTTCTTCCTTCGTGATCACTGGCTCTTGATCATATATTGCCTCTTGAAACAGCTGAACAGCAACCATTTCCTTTTCTGCATCATTCAATAATTTGCCCAGAGAATCCTTCAATAACTAGTCGAGGCTTGAATTTTATATCAATTCCTCCAGTTTGAGAAATGCTAAGCGTGTTCTTCCCTTTTGGTTTTCTAACTCCAGATCTTTGCATATTTCGTTATATTTGATTTTATCTTCTCGAGCTGACCTTTGAAACTTTTCTGTTCAGCTCTTGTACCTCTTCATTTCTTCTAGCATCTCTAAGCTGGAGAGCAAGTTTGAGGGTCTCTTCTGACATTCATTTTGGTCTTTTCCTTCTTTCCTGTATGATGTTCTTGATGTCATCCCACAACTCTTCTGGTCTTCAGTCTTTAGTGTCCAATGTATCAAATCTGTTCTTCAGATGACCTCTAAATTCAGGTGGGATATACTCAAGGTCATATTTGTCTCTCATGGACTCATTTTCTTTAGCTTCAGTCTGAATTTGCAATTGATGGTTTGTTCCACAATCTGTCCCTGGCCTTGTTTAGGCTGATGATATGGAGCTTTCCCACCATCTCTTTCCACAGATGTATTCAATTTGATTTCTATGTATTCCATCTGGTGATGTCCATGTGTATAGTCGTCTCTTATGCTGTCTACAGAAGGTATTTGAAATGAACAAATCATTGACTTTTCAGAATTCTATCATGCGATCTCCAGAATTTCTATCACCAAGGCCATTATTTTCTAACTACTGATCTTTCCTCTTTATTTCCAACCTTTGCATTCCAATCACCAGTGATTATCAACATATCTTGACTACATGTTTGATCAATTTGAGACTGAAGAAGTTGGTAGAATTCTTTAATTTCATTCTCACTGGCTTTAGTGGTTAGTGCGTGTATTTGAAAAATATTGGTATTAACTGGTCTTCCCTGTAGGTGCATGGGTATTATCCTATCACAGTGTTGTACTTCAGGACAGATCTTGATATATTCTTTCTGACGATGAATGCAATGCCATTTCTCTTCAATATGTCACTCCCGGCATAGTAAATCATGTGGTTGTCAGATTCACAATGGCCATTACCAGCCCATTTCAGCTCACTAATGCCTAAGATATCGATGTTTATGCATTCCATTTCGTTTTTGACAATTTCCAATTTTCCTAGATTCATACTTTGTACATTGCATGTTCTGATTATTAATGGATGTTTACAGCTGTTACTCATTTTGAGTTGTGCCCCATTAGCAAATGAAGGTCCCACAGGCTTTACTCCCTTTGTGTCATCACTGTCAACTCTACTTTGAGGAGGCAGCATTTCCCCAGTCGCATTTTGAGTGTCTTCCAACCTGAGGGGCTCATTTTCCAGCACTATATCTGACAGTGCTTCACTGTTATTCATAAAGTTTTCAGTGCCAAAATATTCAGAAGTAGTTCTTCACTCCCTCTTCTAGCCTGTCTTCATCTGGAAGCTCATCTGAAACGGTTCACCGTGGGTGACCCTGCTAGTATTTAAAATACCAGTGGCATAGCTTCCAGAATCACAGCAACTCACAAGCCACCATAGTACCACAAACTGACAGATGAGTGGGGGTATTCTTGCTTACTCCCCATAATAATTCCATAAGGTAAGTGCTGTTATTATCTACCTTCCTTGGATCAAGAATACAACCTAAGTTATAATAAAATCTCAAGAAGAAAATACCTCCTCTATAACTTAACAAGTTGCCATTTTCGAAACCACATAATATGAGAAAAGACCTGCTTATTCAAGAGTAATAAAGAGTAGGGTTCACTTACATTGACATAATCCTTGAGAATGTATCGTGCAGATCGAGGCTGGTCTGGCTGCCCATGAGCCGTCATAAACCCTCGCATATCTATTAGGATTAAAAAAAAAAAAAAAAAAAGGCTATCAGAATTGTCAATTTCTGTAAGGCTACAAAAACTAAACAAACAGAAGTGGGAAAAACTTTTGCAGCTCACATAACCAAAAGCTTACACAAATCTAACACAGAAAGCAAATCACTCATTGAAAAAAGTGATTCCTAGAAAAACTAGTGAGTAATGGAAGAAATACAAAGGAAAATGAAAATTAATTTGGCAGTGTCTTTTACAACTAAAATGTGTTCAACCTATGGCATAATAAACCCATTTCTAAGGATGTATTTGACATTTCGTTTGAACTTTGTCAGACTTTATTCTGCTTGAACTGGCAGATGGTGATCTACAAACGGTTCATCCTCTTTTTATAAACTGACCTTTTCCTCACTTTGATTGTATCACATAGCATGGGCTAAAAAACTCTAAAGACTCAGTTATTTTTAGTTTTATCTGTAACTCATATCAATTTGAAAACTACTTAAAAAGAGGGAAGAGAAAGAGAAGCAGGTGTAAAAGCATACTTTGGCTGGTTTTTATGGGCATCATACTGGGAAGAAGTCTTGATTAGGAAACATGGATTCTCTTCCAGGCTAGACCCTTTACCTTGGGCAAGTTATTTCATGCTCTGATTTGAGATTACTTGTCTTCAAAAGGGGGAGGGAATGGAAAGTGGAGTGGGTGATCTTTAAGGTTCCTTTCAGTTCTATGATTCTGTGACTGCACGGGTCATAGCACAAACATTTACATAGGCAAAGGTAATTTCCATAAAAACTAGGGTAAAGCATGGAGGCAGCATAGCTATGGGCTCATTTTCAGGTCAAGCAAAGTTTACTGGGAACAGATAGACAGAGAAAAGCATTTGTATCCTTAGCCTAAGTAACCCTGAGGGCCTATAAGCTAATGTAATGTTCTCCCCTGATAAAACGACTACATTTCTTCCCAACATCCCTTTTTTTCTCTACTTGGGAGAAGACCCCTGTAAAACTAGAAAAGTCTCAGATAAGAACCCCTGTGTCTGCACATGAGAAGGTCAAAGGTTGTTAAGAGCCCGTTCATTAAAAGCTTGTGACAGCTGCACTCCTTCTGAGAGCTTTAGCCATTGTCCCATCTGGGCCTCCTATACCCTACTGCCAAAGTCATGTGGGGAAGAGGCACAGGCTACAGAGCACCTCCTGTCCTAATTCTAAAAGCACCAAGTGTACCAGTCAGCAGCCAGCTCCCCCTCGTTTACTGCTGGACCCTGAAACCACGAGCAAATTTGCTACTTGGAGGCCACTTTGTAAGTGAGGTCAGCAGAAAACAACAAAAACATCAAGCCTGGAAAATGACATGAGAAAAACCTCAGAAATAGTCTCAATCTGTTATCTTTGCAAAACATTTTTCATTAACTGTATTATTATTATATGTCGATCATGTTTTAAATTAGTCATAACTCACATCCATAAGCCATCAACAGTTCTTCTGAGGTTGGAGGTCGATGAGGATCTTCATCCTCTCTAGGCTTTATGATAGCAATTCCATAGGTAGCTTCTAAAACATATCTTGGAATATTCTGGCAAACATACGCTTGTCAAGAAACCCATTCTCTTGAATTGCCTGCACCCTCCCCATCGCATCTGAGACATGTGTCTCAGAGCAGTTTGTCTGACACACACCCCTTCTCCTCCTTAAAAGAAGAGTAATTATTGAGTTACAAAGACTGTTTTTATTTTTTTTTTGCTTTTCAACTAAGTCTTATGAACCAATCATCACTTCCAAATGAATTGTTTAAAAAAATAATTATCATTAGAATAATATTTAAAATAGAGCTCGAAAATGACAATTTTTTTACCTTGAGAAGATGGTAAGTAAATTATGTAATTTGTGAGATGATCCTAACTCAAAGATTATCTTTATTTCTAATTCCTATAGCTATCTTACTCTGGGTCGCTATGAGTTGGAACCAACTTGACAACACTTAACAACATAGCTATCCAAGGAGAGATGATCTTTTTCCTTTATTGTCTCATAAGGATTTATCAGCATTTTTTTCTTAAGCCACTTGGTGGTGGTTATGTGCTGTGGAGTCAGTTCTGACTCATAGTGACCCTGTACAGGGTTTCCGAGGCTGTAAATCTTTACAGGAGCAGAAAGCCTCATCTTTCTCCCGTGGAAGAGCTGGTAGTTTTGAACTGTTGACCTTGCGTTTCACAGCCGATTCGTAACCACTATGCTACCAGAACTCCTTTACAGCACTGCTAATCATCTATGACTTATATCCCCCCAAGACAGAATGCTCCGTAGGGGCACGATCTGTGATTGACTTATGCTTGGATCCTTCATGGTACTTAACCTAGCATGTGGCTTGCAGAAAGCGCTCAATACATATTTGCTTATTAAATTACAGAAAAACTTAAAACATTATGCCACCCTTACCCAGGGCAAGTGTATTTCTTATGGGGCATCCTTTATATACACATACGAAAAAAGGAACCATTTTTCATATACACACGTATCTATGAGTATATTGTACAAGGGACCTTCAAAAAGTTTGTGAAAAATCCCATTATCTTCTAGTTCCATTTCCCACAAATCTTCTGAAGCCCCTTTATATGGTTTTGTGAGATGGAAAATACTTTATAAAAATGGTTGTCATGCTCTATATGTTTATATGCTTTTTTTTTTGAAGATCTGAAGTTTACCCATGTGGCTCCATGTAGATTAGTGCAGTCTAATGACTGCTAGTACCCACTTCATATATATTATACATTTTACTTATCCTAAATAAAGTATTTATCTCTTATATAGAAAGTAAATGTAAATTGGAAGAACCAGAAAGCCGTGGCCTTACATAGTCTCATTAAGCACTGTGAAGGATCTGCAATTGCACCCTGCTTACCAGCTATCTCATTAGACAGTCTGGCTCCTATAGTCTCCTACCATCTGCCAGCATCCATTAAACAGTAATGAGATAAACGTGCTAGCTTCTAGAACCCAGCGCCTTCTAGTCAATTCCAACTCACAGTGATTCCATAGGACAGAGTCAAACTGCCCCCTATGGTTTCTAAGGCTGTAATCTGTATAGAGTAGTTCTGGTATGGTGCCATAGGATAAGCAATCGACCTCAAGGTCAGTGGTTCACACTCACCAGTCACTCCTCGGAAACCCTACACAGGGTTGCTATGAGCCAGAACCGACTTGATGGCATTTAATAACAACATCTTTATAGAAGCAGACTACCGCATTTTCCTCCAACCTTACGGAACATTCTGCCTGTGGGGGACATAAGGCATAAATAACTATGATACAAGGTTGTTGTTGTTTAGTGCTGTCGAGTCAGTTCCGGCCCACAGTGACCCTGTGTAGGGTTTCCGAGGAGCAGCTGGTGAACCGGAACTGCCAACCTTGCAGTTCAAACAGCTTTGCAGAGTGCTATATATACCTTAAGAACTGCCAACCTTTTGATTATAGCTCAGCGTTCAACCATGGCATCACCAGGTCTTCTTGTTAGGTTGTAAATAGGATAATTCTTTCCAGATTTATATTTGAGTACATATTTCACACCAGGCACTATCCTAGGAACATCCTATAAGCAAATTCACTATGCTGCTGAGAGGTAGCAGAGTTCCTTACTAGCTATGAAATCTTGGGCAAATTATTTAACTTCTTTGTGTCTCAGTTTCCTCAAGTATAAGCATCTGCTTCAAGAGATTTTTTGAGAATTAAATAATACAATCGTCCTCCAGTATCTATGGGGGATGGGCTCCAGGACTCCTACATGGATACCAAGATCTGTGGACGCTCATGTCCCTTAAATAAAATGATGTAGTACGTACCTGCATGTAACCTATGCACATCTTTCCATATAAATCACCTATAGATTACTTGAGCCCTGATGTGGTGCTGCAGGATAAGCTAACCCACCTGTTACTCCACAGGAGAAAGATGAGATTTTCCTGCTCTTGTGAAGATTAGTCTTGGAAACCTATGCTGGGTTGTTATGTATTAGAACTGATACAATGGCAGTGAGTTTGACTTTTTCTACATTACTTTTAATAGCTTTCTGTTGTTGTTAAGTGCTGTTGAATCAGTTCTGACTCACAGTGACCCTGCCTGTGTAGGGTTTCTGAGACTAAATCTTTGTGGGAGCAGAAAGCCTCATTTTTCTTTGTGATAAGGCAGGCAGTATTATCCCCATTTTATTAGAAAAAAAACCTCTGTGAGGTTAAGCGTATTTTCTGAGGTCATGCCAATAGTCAATGGCACTTTCACAAAATAAAATACGCTGGAAAATTATGGCTGTGAATCCAAATCCTGGCCTTCTATAATTACACCAAAATGAAATTAGGAGATGTTTTAATTCTCAAGTTCTGATGCTATCTCATCGTGAAAATCGGGCTCAGTAGTAAGTATTTTAATGTCTCCATTCTTAAAGTTATCAAAAGAATGTCCAAATCCAACTTGAAGCTCTAATATATATGTAATAATCAGGTTCTTTCAGCACCAGAAAGGATATTAATGATACAGGTGGGACGTGATCTCTCATCTGGTCTATTGGCAGGATTCCACTGCAAGTCATCTCAGCCTTGGTAGAGACAAAGGATGGCATCACCAGGCCTGGGCAGTCACACAGGCAGAGGCCAGGCTCCACATACAGAGTCTGAAAGATGAGGAGGAGGTATGTGTGGGGACACAGAAGATGAAGGGAAAGAAGAGCACTAGGTGAGTGACAAAGGAATGCAGAAAAGATCCAGTAATTAGCTGAGAAGGAAACAAAGGCAAATGCTGCAAATAATACCTGAAAATGTTTGGTGTGGCCAGGTGTGGCAGACACGGACACTTTCTTGTTACCCATGATGGTGTTGATTGTCGAACTCTTCCCAACATTTGGATACCCCACCTAGAAAAGACTCAGAAGTTACCAAAGAGTACATCTGTCAAAGATCCAAACATATGGAGTAACTGACAGCAATCTTGGCAAAAATGTGTAGTCACTTTGAAAGGAGGTGCTGTGTTTGCAGATACACAGATATTTTAATACCACAGCCTACTACTGGTTTCAAATTTTGGCAGCTAACAAATTTCTGTCTTGCTGGCTAAAAATTAACATGGCACAATGACTTGATTTAACCAGTTACTAACTAAGCTCCTTAATTATTATTGGGTTCAGGATGAGATAATATCCATTTTCTCCTCCTCCCTCTCCTCCCAATGCTATCAATAAATCTGAAATTTCACATTTTCTCAGATCAAGCAGGCTCATAATAAAGGAACAAAAGTTATCAAATAAAATAAACAAACTTATTTAATGCTGTCTGCTCAAATCACACCATCCTTGTTGTATGGTTTTCCTCATGCCTCCAAATCTAATTCCCTTTCTTACACGATTCAAAGAATCCTCCATCAACATGACTGGAAGATTATGAATACTTATTCCCTTGAATGGAATTCTAGTGTGGCACTGTAGGACAAGCACTGGACTGCTAACTGTATGGCTGGTGGTTCAAACCCACCAGCCACACCTTGGAAACCCTATAGAGAGGGTCACTATGAGTTGGGAACAACTCGATGGCACTTAACAATGTTCCCCTGAATATAAAACCTCCACCTCTCTTACAAAGCTGGTCATGTACTGCCATCATTAGAGTGTTCACTCTCACTACTCTTCAAACTCCAGTCAGACTCAATCATTTGTCATTAGACAAACACACCATGAACTGAACCAGTCCTGGGGCACCGTGCAAACTGTTGGATTTTGTCTATATGGAATGCCCTTCCCAACACTTGTCAAAAACACACATACTTCAAGGTGCAACACCCTCCAAAGAAATTTCAGACAACTGCCAGCTAATTTTAATAGTCTCATCATGTTCTGAACTTGACTATACAATGGGCTGCAAAAAATTCATGGAAAATTGGAACAGAAAAGATAATGGGGTTTTTCTGCAAACATTTAAAACCCCAATCATATGCTATGTTATGTTATCAGACTTAAAGTCTAATACTCTTTAACTAAGAGATCATGATTTAACTTTGCATCCTTTTTATAGTACACTGTTTAAATGTCATTCATTTGGAAAGGGAGGAGTGATTTTGCTGCCTTCTCCTAAGTCAGGCTAGATATCCTGCTAGGGCCCAGTACAAAGTGTGGCATGCGGCAAACCAAACCCAACCAAACCCACTGACACTGAGATGGTTCTGACTCATAGCGACCCTGTATCGTGTTTCTGAGGCTATAAATCTTAACAAGAGCAGACAGCCTCCTCTTTCTCCTACGGAGTGGCTGGTGAGTTTGAACTGCTGATCTTGTGGTTTGCAGTCCAGTGGGTATCCTACAGCACCACCAGCACTCTTCTGGAATGTGGCAGGTGCTCAATAAATGTTTGTAGAATGAGTTAATGAAGCTATTCTTATGTAGAATGAGTCAATGAAGCTATTCTTATGTAGAATGAGTCAATGAAGCTATTCTTAGGCTTTCTGGTTGCTGTTGAAGTTCTGACTCAACTCACAGCAATCCTGTAGAAGTTTCCAAGGAGTGGCTGGTAGGTTTGAACCGCTGGCTTTACAGTCAGCAGTCCAGTGCTTATCCTACAGCACCACATCAGGACCCTAGAGTAAGAAATTCAGAAAGTGATTTCTGCTTACCACGTCCATAAATGTAGAGTAGCTGGGTTTCCTGATGCAGGTGGGAAGTGAATTTTTAGCAGCACTACTTACAAGTTAAGTCTTAAAATTCCTAAGTAAAGCAGCTTTCCCTAGTTTGATAGCAAGTATGTTAGTTTCAGTGCAGAACTGGGAATTACATGTTAAATCTGACTCTGGAGACTAGTCTTAACTAGTACACTAAAATGTCAATCTCCCATAGTCATTGTAAGTAGGTTTCTGGAGGGCGGAAGAGGGGAGAGATTCAGAAAGAATAAGAATTAGCTATACTTGGCATGAAGAAAGGCACCCTGGTGGCACAGTGGGTGAAGGGTTGGGTTGCTAACTGCAAGGTCAGCAGTTAAAACTCATCAGCTGCTCCAAGGGAAAAGAATGAGGCCATCTGCTCCGGTAAAGACACACAATCTCAGAAACCCTAAGGAGCAGATCTACTCTGTCCTATGGGGTCATTATGAATCAGAATCTATGGCAGAGCGTGGGTAGGTGGCACCAGGAAGCCTGGTGGTGTAATGCTTACTCAGTTACTAACCAAGAGGTCAGCAGTTCAAACCCACCAGTCACTTCCTGGGAGAAAGACCCTTTGTATAGATTACAGACTTAAAGACTTTTACAAGAAGACACCTTCTATAATAACATCTTAGGTTTCTTTAGGCAAGGATGAAGTCATCAGGAGTTAGGCTGTATTTCTTTGGAGTTTGGGGCACTTCTATAAGTCACCTTTGGAGTTAGGGTACATGTACTTAGTTAGGGATGTGAGTTCCCCTATTTGAAACTTAATGTTTATGCAATTAAAGTAGCTGCATAATTTGGACACTCACACATGGATTTAGAAGACAAGTGGGCTGGTACAAAAGATCATAAGATACCAAAAGGCTGCAGAAGGAAATTGTAGTTTACTTTTGCTGATGAGACTACACAGGTCAGAGGAGTGAAAGCTTATATTAAAAAAAAAAAAAAAGCTAAAAAGATTGGGTTGGAAGTCTGAAAACATACAAGCTCCTCATTCTAATCTTTCTTACAATTTGTAGGATAGGAACAGCTGAATTGGAAGAAGACTGGTGAAGCTAATTCATATAAACAGGAATGCAACCAGCATAAACCCATGAGAGTTCACTCTCTGACTGGGATCTGAAAGTCATTATGCCACCGGGCAACCGTGAGCAGTGTGGTGGTGTGCCACGGAGATGGCTCCCATCTAGGGCTTCCAAAGCTGTGAATCTTTATGGCTGCAGAAAGCCTCATCTTTCTCCCGTGGGGTAGCTAGTAGATTTGAACTGCTAACCTTGTAGTCAGCAGCCCAATGTGTAATCCACTATGCTACTACTAGGGTTCCTTGAGGGCAATAATGTTCCATATGATGCCAGAACCCAATTGGTCTCTGAGGTCTCAGTCTAACTGTTGAAAAATGGAGAATGAAGTCCAGTGCTTATCCTACAGCTCCATCAGAGCTCCTTTAAGATCTTCATAGTTGCAATAATTTTATGACATATTTGATCTTACCAGCCCAACAGTAAGCTGTCCATCTTTCACCTTCTTCCCAGTATGTAGCTGTCTGAAGATCTCCAGTAATTCCTGTTTCGATACCAGATGACTAAAATTGTGTGTTTGCCTCCTCTGTGGGGTTTTTCTGCCCTGAACGTCAGAATCTAAAGTACAGTTTTTCATCCAGTCTTGGCCGTGGGACTCTCCTTCAAGGGCACTGTCTTCTTCTGAACACGTCTGCCAATCTTCTTCCTCCTCCTCCAGACAGTCCTCATAGTCACTGTCGTCTCCATCACTGGAGGCACCTTCACTAATTGAGGGAGAATCCCTGCCTGAGAGATGTGCAGTCTCATTGTGTGGAATTTCAGCCTCATCAGAGTCAGAGTTCTCAAACTCAGTTGTGTCAGTTTCTCTAGCATCTCCATTGACTTGCTCCTAAGATAACAGAAACCACAAAAATTCAGATATGCAACAACTGTACTTTTCACTCTAGTGGAAAGACTTAGTTGATTATGTAGGGTGAACAGAGGACAAAAGAAGTTATGAAAGGGAGTGAAGGTGAAGGCAGGGGAGAGACACTGTAGAAAGAATGCACAATCAATCACCAACAGCAATGCTCTCTGCTCACTTTAGACATCTGTATATTTTTCAAACACAGAATCCCTTTTGTAATTTAAAATAAATCTTTTTTAAATAAAAAAGAGGAAATGTTCAGGTTAAGCTGAATTTTTTGGCAATCCATTATTTGAGATGAGCTGTAGAATAAAACAGAGCATTTCCTATCAGTGATAAAACACTTAACATTCTCCTCTCTGTACAAAGCAGGAAGGGCATAATTTGTCATCTGAGCTTCAATTACATTTGCATTTTACAAGTTTAGAGGAAACTGCTAATCTTTGTTAATTACCTTTAATAAATGAAGTATCACTGGAACACAGTTTCCTGTATGAAATGCAGAAACTACAAAACTCAACTCCACACACAGAAACTGTTTACCAGTTGAAGATCACTAAGGGTGTCTTAAAAACAGGGTTTTGAACTGGTTCAGTCATGGCCAAAAAACAGATACTGGAACAGAAAGTATTATAGGTTGAAGCCCTGGGAGACTCAGAAGAAGCTTGGCGAGCCCTTTCAGGAGCTTCATGTGGAAGATTTGATTACTGCCAAGACTGTGGAGAGCGGAGACGCACATTCAAGGTGGCATGGCTGGCTGCCATCTTTGAGCCAGTTACCACTGTTTCTGACTGTGCGACAAGAGATGTGGTTGCTCTGTAATGTGCAGCATGCTGCCTCTGTTTTATAAGAGGGTGATAGATTCAGGGAGATTTCTAGCAGGGTGTTGGTCCATATTTCCCATTAGGATTATGGTTCTAGAACACCCACATCTTTCAAATTGAAGTCCATTCTGATTTTGCTTCATCGACTATGACCGAATTGGAAAGAGCTGCCTTGAAGCTTTGTTTAAAATAACCACCCTAGGAAAGAGAAGTACTCCTGGTGTGGTGATGTAGGATCAGCACTAGACTGCAAATCACAAGGTTGGCAGTTCAAATCCACGAGCTGCTCCGTGGAAACCCTGTACAGGATCACTATGAGTCAGAACTGACGATGACAACAGAAAAAAGAAAGGCTAAAATCTGTTCATGTATGTTCTAACTCTTCTGAATCTCTACAAATTAAGTGTAACATTATATTTACAATATAATGTTAGAATGAATAATAAAAGGACACGATGAACTCAGCCAACAAATGTATCCTAAATTTCAGGATAATAAAGAGAAACAAAATGTCTGGGTAAGTAGCTAGGCCTAATTCATCATGATGCCTAACAGCTCAGAAAGGAATCAAGGCTTTTGATAGAACCATAGAATTGGAAATAATTTTTATTATAAATGAGTAATGGATGCTCCATATGAACTCTGCTGAATCGGGTTTTAAAGCAAGACAGACAAAGAAAAACATGAATGTGAACTAAACATGCGCACACATACAAAAAACTAAGACTTAGATTCAGGAACCATGCTAAAGTCAACAACCAGAGGATAGGTCTCTTGTGATACAATAGTGAATAATTGTTATCAGGACTGACTGCGAGGGTTGGAAATGTAAAGGTAGATGTTTTGTAGCAAGGAGGGGAGTGATTAACTTTGCACTCTAGGAGCTGAGGTCCCTAGGACCATCAAGGAAGAAGAGCAGAGACCGGCACCCTACCCAGAGAAGCAGTGACGCCAGAGATGGAGGCAGAGACAATGATGTGGAAAGATGGAGTGGCTGGGGACTTGACCCAGAGAAGGGAGAAGGAATGTGTGCTGAAGACCAGTGGGCAGGCTTGATGATGCATGGAGGGGATTGTAACCATGGTAATGAAACGACATACGATATGATGAATGTAAAACTAATGTTCTCCCATGTAAACTATCACATAATTCACAATAAAACATTAAAATAAATAAATGGGAAAACTCAATTCCTTGTCGAACACAATTTAACAGATGGCCAAGAGAAGGCAGAGGCACTCTCTTTCACTCTCTATATAAAGTTATTGTTTTTAAAGAAGGTTGAATAACTATGTTGTTGTTAAGTGCCGTTGAGTGGGTTCCGACCCATGGTGACCCTGAACAGGGTTTCTGACGCGGTAAATCTTTACGGGAGTAGAAAGCCTCATCTTTCTCCTGCAGAGCAGCTGGTAGTTTTGAACTGCTGACCTTGCCTTGCAGTTTGCAGCCCGATTCGTAACGACTACGCTATAGATGAAGAAAATCAAATCCTCAGGTGGGAAAATTAGAAAATATTAAAACATTTAAAAGTAAGTTCAAATTTGATATCCAAATTACAGATATGATGTCACAACCTCAACTGTTATTTTCTCTCAGAAATCACATTAAACCATGATTTCTAGAAGACTTGAGAGGAACAAACTGTGCCCTTTTTTAAAAAAATTTATTTATTTTTAATAAATGTTTTATTGTGAATTGTGTGATAGTCTACACGGGAGAACATTAGTTTTACATTAGTTTTACATTCGTTCCATCATCCATCATTTCATTGGCATAGTTACCATCCCGTTCATGCATCTTCACCCAACCGAAGGGTGTACCCTGTAAGCCTGCACCCCCTCACCACAGTCCTCAGCTCCTTTCCATCTACTGATTCCAAGTCCCCAGCCACACCATCTCTTGACATCGTCTTCTCTGCCGCTATCTCAGGCCTCACTGCTTCTCTGGGTAGGATCCTGCTCTCCATTTTCCTCCACTGATGGTCCTAGGGTCCTCCGCCCCTAGACTGAAAAGTTAATCACTCTCCTCCTTGCTACAAAATGTCCACCTTTAGATTTCCAACCCTCACAATCAGTCCTGATAACAATTATTCACTATTGCATCTTAAGAGACCCATTTGTATTTCGTTTCATCAGCCCTTCCTGGACAGGCTGAATACTATTTATTGGAGACTCTACCTTCCTCCACGCCCTTTGGATCTAGGTTCCCTCTTGAAAGCTTGTAAGCCAGTCACTTCTTATCTTTGTATTCCTCCCCTCATTTTGGGTAGCCAATGTCCAAGTTGCCCATCCCTGTCTACCCTTTGTGTGGAGGAGGTGGGAATAGTTCTTGCAGCAGGGATTTGTGTCCTCTTTTGAGCTACTGCATTTATAGGTGTAGGTCATGTTTATCGAATTGTATCAGATGACGCTTTTTTCCTCTTCTTTCTTCTTTGGGTTGAGCTCTGTTTATCCAGTCATTGAAGCCAGGTCAAGTGGGTATCATCTGAGAGTGTGGGTGTTCTTGCGTCTGTCTGGCCTCTTTTTATCAGCTGGCTGCCCCACTCTTCATTCTAGTCCTCAGTGGCTGTGTCATTGACTCTGAGCCCATGAGTCCCCAGGTCTTGCCTTGCTGCTGGCCGACCAGGTCTCCACCCGGGTTCACAGTAGGTTTGCTGAACGATGTAGGGCTTAGCTCGCCACTTCATTGATGTTCTTCGGTCACTTCCCCTTCTGGGTGACGTGTGTGGTTGCCAGTCAAAGTGTATATTTCTCTTGCGTCTTAGTCTTGGAAGAGAATTTTGTGCCTAACTTTTAAAAAAGAAAGACTATCTTCCATAAACCACACATTGTTAACCCAGAGAATGATCATGTCTATGATTAATATAAGAGCAGAAAATGTAGAACTAAAGGGACACATAAAAGAGTCCTTAACTGTTACATGGATGCTTACATCCAAGGGCAAAGCTCATGACTGCCTCAGAGGGTTTAATATGACTAAACAATGAGGGAGGCCAATTTAACTTCACCGAATGGAAGACCTTCTTAAATTCAGGTAAAAATAACAGGATGCTTGGTTTGCAGAGACTCGTCATTTAAAGAGGTCAGAGAGACTATGACTATTAGCCAGGGAGGCCTCACCAATGACCCTTTGGGGTCCCAGAACGGAATCTGTACGGAAGCAGACCGCCTCATCTGTTCCCCTCAGACTGCTGACATCTGCTTACTTACATGAGATGGAGGAAGGCATTCCTTCAGAGGAAGAGGTTGTTGTTGGTGGCGGTATGCTGCTAAGTCAGTTTCAACTCATAACGAGTCTGTATAGGGTTTCCAAGGCTGTAAACCTTTACAGGAGCGGAAAGCCTCATCTTTCTCTCATTGAGCAACTGGTAGATTAGAACTGCAGTGCTGATTGCAACTCATAGTGAGCCTGTGTAGGGTTTCTGAGGCTATAAATCTTACTGAGAGCAGAAAGCCTCGAAACAGCTGGTGGATTTGAACTGCTGACCTTGCGGTTATCAGCCCAACACTTAACCCACTATACTACCAGGGCTCCTAGAGGCAGACATAAGAGCTCCCTAAACTGTGGAGGGGAAGGTGTTTCACAGCACCTAGCTCAGCACATAGACAACTCATGTTTGACAGAAATAATCAGGAAGAGAACAGGAAAAAATACATTGCTTCTTAAGGTATCTTCTTCCAGACTGAAGAATCTATTACTAATTTCTTTTTTAAGTTAGAAAATAAAATAAAATAAACCTTCAAACTATTCTTGTGACATTTGGTTAAAAATATAGAAATTAACCTGGTATACCTTTATTTCTTTTAAAAATAAAGCCAAAAGAGATTCTGATCAAACCACGACAAGCTGTAGCCTTTTGTTCTGACTTGTCTTAAATGCAATTACAAAATCATTATGAAATTTCCTATTCTGCTTCCTGTCTAAGATTTTTTTTTTATAATTCAAAATTAAAACATTAGTATCTAACATAGCACTGGGCTGCCGGAGTATTTAATAATCATAGACAAAGTAACCTCTTGACTCACTTTTCCTTAGGTCATCCAATCACACACACAAAATATACACAAAAAGCTAATCCAAAGTCTTCAATAAGAAAAAAAACAAAATAAAAAGAAAGCACACTAATCAGAAACCCAGTTCTCCTCCTTGAAACCTACAATGTCCCCAGGTTACCTCTGCGTCACCACTCAGTTGAATGGCTTCTGCCAAAGCTGACCAGAAAATAACCTTCACACCTTCTTTTTCAAAGTATGAGGCCCAGGCACTCCGCTGCTCAGCAGTCAACAAGTCTGCCTTATTGATCAAAATAACATTCTCCTTATTGTCATCCAGTTCTTTCACATAACATTCCTAGGTAAAAGAAAAGTCTCTTAGAGCAATGAAAACTTAATTAAGCTCATTTACTAAAGACCCCCAGCTATGACTAAAAGTTTTTCCTGCTCCCAATCTGAAACAATTCCTAATTCAAAGACTTGGAATCATGGTACACTCTACTAATCCTTTCATTAAGCTTTGTAAGGGAGTTAATTAGGTCACATATAAATATTCTAACCGTAAGATGTTGGAAAGCATAAAAATAGATGCTTTCCCACTGTTGAGGTATAATAGGTCCATTTTTCTTTGAACAGTGTACCCCTTTAATAATGCTAAATTATTTCTTTCAAACAAGTTAAAGGGTTCCAAAGAGATCTGAGAGTCAGCAGTGACAATTTTTCAGTCAAGTGAGGCCAACCAATAATCATCTTCTTGGATGCTTCTGAAGCATCAAAGGGTCACAGGACTCAGCAAGGGAAGTGAACCCCTAACTAGAGCTCTTTATTAAAGAACTGACTTCACCACAGCTTCATCAGTAACATTTTAGTTACTCACCGTGAGTTTTAAGACAATTTGTATTTCTACTATTAAGGTCCTCAAATATTACATTATTTCATGTGATCTGCACACCTTAACTATTGCTCCCTGTGTTGTCCTACAAACTTAGTTGACTTGCACAACACTAAAAGGAGGAGCAACTAAGAGAATTTAGTAGGATGGATAAAAAGTGACGTGACTAGGAATATACTAAGTAAAATGTATTTTGATTGGTGTCTCAAAAAAATGGGAAACACTGGCAAATGTTTATTAGCAAAGTGGTTTCTAAACTAAAAGTTAGAAAGTTCACTAAGTGTTTGAGACTTCCTGCAGACAGAAACAACTGTTTGAAGAGAGAAAACATCTGTGTAAACCGTGGCATTGTGCAAGTTCCTGATCCTGGGAGGAAGACAGGGCCTAATTAAACAAAGCTAGAGTAGAGGACAGAATGCGTCCTAGAGTTACTCCTATGAGTGATGCTGCCCTTGCACTGCTGATCAAAAGACTAAAGTGTGACTCTTGCCAAACTTTACTTACCAAATCCTCACATCTAAACAGGAGTGGGTTTCGACCATCTACTATCTGGACCACAATATCACTGAAAAACAAATGCGAGAGAATGAGGAAATTGAGACTCAGAACAGCTAGGTGACTTGAACAAGCGACAGCTCTGGACTGTGTGCATAGGTAGGTGGGTCAGAGGTCACACTTTTAATTGTATCATTCTACTGCTCTAACAGGGCTTTAAGGGGCTCAGATGATGTTTCACTGCTGGAGTCTATTAACTCCTTTCTCGTGGTGAGATCAGGGTATTCCAAACACTTCAGTGGAGAGGAGGTCTATTGACCTATCCACACTCTGGTTAAGAAAGCTTAATAAACTGCTTGCTGACAGCTGCTACTATGGAAGCCAGATTTTACTTAAAACCAGGGCTAACAAAGGAAAAACACACCTAGCGAACAATCACCCTAGAATGTGTTTAAGTGGCAAAAACACAAAACTGCACAATATCAATTTCAGCTGCCATACTGAAGTAGGAATGGTAAGTCCAACTTCTTCCATTACATCTAAGATGCAGCAATAACATTTTCTGCAGCAGATGGCAAATCCGTCAGATCCCTCAGGAATGCAACAGGGATACAAGCAGCAGGTCAACTGGCAAGGAGAGTAAGAAATTCACTTCTCTGGGAGGACCCTCCCTTCCTTCAGCCTCTGTGGCGAGGGAAGATGTCATGAGGGTCAGCTCTGACTGACACTGGAAGGAAATAAGCGGCAGAAGTACTACCACCTGACAGCATGGTCTCCCCAAAACACGTTTGGTTAACCAGCTTCTTCTAGCTTAGTTCTGCAACTAGGTTGAACATCAAGGAAGGGCTCTGACTCAAAGTAACCGTTCAGGGAATAGCCTAATCTTTTAATTCAAAGCAACTCTGACTTGACAGTTTTGTTTTTAACCCTGTAAAATTAAGTGGGCCCCAATATTTCCTTCTTTAAAATAGTACCTGACAGTTTTAAACTGTAAAGATTCAACAGTCAGTGCAAAAACAGGGAAAGCCTAATAAAATCAGAACCAGAGTCCACACATTTTATGCCTACCAAACATGTAGAAAAGAACGAACTTAGAAATATCAGTAAGAAAAGAAGACAGTTCAAACAGCTTGCTTCACATGCAGAATTAGGATGTTGCACGAAGTGCCCACTCTATACCAGGAAGGCTTTGTACAATACAATGTAAGGGTCTTATCTGGCCAGAATACAGTGGACTGCCCTGGGTGCTCCGGCAGCTTCCTGAATTTCAATGACATGTTACACATCAAATCTTTTCTCATAACCACTAACGAAATTAAAGAAGCAGATGGCTTCATTAGCCTGTTACCAAGCAGGAGACATCTGCTGTAAAGAAGGTATCAATACATGTTTCTGTTCAATGACATAGCAATAGTGATTTCATTAATAATATTTCTATGTAACTCAGATTTGCTTCCAGGCAATACCAACAAAATTCCCTGAGTTAGAAACATATTCTGTCATAAAAGGGAGAAGTATCACTCAACACAAATAACAGTGAGTAAACACTACAATCTAATAGAAGCCCAAACTTCCAACAAGTATGAAGGGGCTTCAGACAGTCTGTGGAAAAATCTCATTAATTATTAATTCCATGAACTTTCTGAAGCCCCCTGGTACATAGCTCACTCTAATGAAACCGATGCCTAGGTACGTACACAAATAGCATGCAAAGGGACTTCCTTTGTTAAACATGGATGACTGAGCAGAACATACATGGTTACCTTTACCCTTTCTCAAAACCTACGAGCATGAAAAGTAAATGCTGAAACCCATTAGAAGGAAGAAAAAAGGAGAGAAACTGCTAATAAGAAATGTGAAGTCACTTTTGAAAGGTAAAAATCAGATGGGGGAGTTAGGAGAACAAAGAAAGCTGAATACCAAGTGCTTACAGAGAAGGGTATCTAGAGAAATGGGCTCATTCATGCCCCAGAATGAACCAGAAGATGGCTCAGGACTGGAAGCATCAGCCAGCTATGAAGCCAAAGGTGAAGCGGGGCATGGGGCTGAAGTCAGGGATGCTTTGGGGAAAGTCTTGAGTAGCGAGCACTCAGACCCTCAGGTCTCCTCTCCTGTTCCACTCCTTCCCCACATGCTCCAAAGCCACCTTTTCCCATCCTAATGGTTGTTGTTGTTATTAAGTGCTGTCGAGTCAATTCTGACCTATAGTGACTTGTATAGGGTTTCCAAGGAGCAGCTGGTGAGCTTGAATAATCCACCTAGCAGTTCAAACGACTTTGCAGTCTGATGCATTAGTCCATAGTAGAAGGTCTACTATGGAGAAATGAGGACATCAGGCACAGTAGAAGGTACAAGAGGTGCCATAATGGATTAAGGAGGATTAAAGTGAAGGTCAATACTGAGCATGAGAAAGCCTTGCCCCACTATGTTATACCATCGCCTTTAGCCCCATTCCTGGCAGGAGAGACTTATTTTTTTAAGGAAACTTACTGGCCTTGGAAAAAGACATATGCACTAACATCTTGGGGTTTCCCTACAAAATAAAGCTGATCTCAGCCAGTCACCCTGCAGTGAAGCCTACCAGTTGACAAGACCCAGCTAAATAGGTATACCTGTCAATTTGCTTTGTAAAGCATCATTCTTAAATATGAATAGACAACAAACACCATTAGACACTTGAGGAAGACCACTTACATGAAAGTCAGAAACCAAAATAAATCGGAAAGAAAACAGAACAAAGAGGAAAGTGAAAGAAGTAGGAAGTAGAAGGAAATCTAAAACCCAAACAAAAAGACTCGAATTAAGTATGCAAATAGGAGTGTTCCCTCAAGGTTGAGATTACAAAATTTCAGAATGTGTTAGAAATTTTGGAAAGAATTAAACGGCCATCTGAGCAGAATACACCTTCAACTGTGCCTCAGAAGTTTCACAAGAGAACCACACTGATTCTTCCCAAGCCCCATTCAGAAGTAACTGATAATGAAACGGGTGTGAACAGAGGTTGGCAATGAGCTACAATTTTTAATTATTTTAGGCTTAGAAATTTGCCTTGCTATTTTGCCTTCCCACATTCTACCCGACAGCTTTTTCCCTATCGTTGAGGATGCAGGTTTGGGGACAAAGGAGGCTATGTATGTGATTTTCTTTAAAAAAAAAAAAAAAAGAGGTGGGGTGGGGGACATAATTCACATCCACCACTCTTCTGTTAGGTTGTCATACTGTGGTAGCTTGTGAGTTGCTGTGATTCTTAAAGCTATGCCACCAGTATTTTAAATACCAGCAGGGTCACCCATGGTGGACAGGTTTCAGATGAGCTTCCAGACAAAGACAGACTAGGAAGAAAGAGTGA